GCCACATTTCTGAAATTCGGTGCCACCCCTCACGCAGATCCGCGGGGTCAGGGTCCAAAAACACAGGGGATTTGCCACATTTCTGAAATTCGGTGCCACCCCTCACGCAGATCCGCGGGGTCAGGGTCCAAAAACACAGGGGATTTGCCACATTTCTGAAATTCGGTGCCACCCCTCACGCAGATCCGCGGGGTCAGGGTCCAAAAACACAGGGATTTGCCACATTTCTGAAATTCGGTGCCACCCCTCACGCAGATCCGCGGGGTCAGGGTCCAAAAACACAGGGGATTTGCCACATTTCTGAAATTCGGTGCCACCCTTCACGCACATCCATCGCAAGGCGTGGTAACCCAAACTGCGAGAACTCCCTCGGCCCTTTAATCGCAAGGTGTGGTAACCAAGCCCGTAAACCATACACGTCTTACCAATCGCCAGGTGTGGTAACCCCTCTTGTGATCAGTTGGTTTTGCTGATTGCGAATCGGCTTCGCATGAAGTTTCGATACTGCTTCACGACAGCGCCAAGGCCTCATGACTTAGTTCTTCCATGGCCCATTCTCCGAGAGAGGGGGCCGGCGGCAGGGGGCGAAGCCCTTACGGATTGAAATCCTCAACAAAAGGGCTCCATGCGAAGCCCTCCATAGAAGGTTTCCTATTGACATCCCCCGAAGAAGTTCTTTGTTTTATTATATTACTTACAAGGATTACTATTGAAATCTACCACAAACAATTCCCCACATTGGCATTGCATTGGCATTGGTTTGGCATTGCGTTGGCACTGCTTCGGCATTGCGCTGGCGAGTTCGTATGGCTCCCACCACAGAAGGATTCCTTACCTTCCACAAGAAGGGATCCTTTTGAAAGCCCCCCACATAAAAGATTCATACTGAACCCCCCCACGCAAGGATTCCAATCGAAACCCTCCACAGGTAGGATTCCTTTTGGAATCTACCACAAAGGATACCCCACGTTGGCATTGCATTGGCGTTGAATTGGGATCGCCTTGGCATTGGGTTGGCATTGCGCTGGCGAGTCCTCATGGCTCCCTCCGCAGAGGGACTCCTACTGAAACCCTCCACAAGAACGATTCCGATTGAATCCTCCCAGATGAAGGATTCCTAGTGGAACCCTCCACATGGAGATCCCTATCGAAACCCCACACATACGCATTGCTAGTGAAATCACCCGGAGAGGGATTCGTACTGACATCATCCACAAAGTATTCTTATTGAAATCCACCGAACGAAAGGATTCCCCAATTGGCATTGCATTGGCATTGGTGTTGGTTGTGGATGGATTTGTATCGCATCGGCATGCATTGGCTTGGTGCAGGAGATAGGCAAATAGAGAGAGAGAGAGAGAGACAACGAGAGACAGAGAGAGAACACTAGAGAACGATATAACGAGAAACTATTTGTATGAGGGGATCACGGCGAAAAGAAAAATGACAACAAACAATCAAAATTTAAGGGTGAAAGAGCGTTTCACTTGATAAAAACTGTATGAAAACGACGAGGGGCTCCACAATCCCCCGGCCTCTCCTCCTCCCCCCTCCACCCGCCCCTCAGAGGAGGAAAAGGTATCGATACCGCTGCCCCTGCCTCGATTTTGCCTTTTCGGGCCTCCCGGGAGGCCCTCCTCCTCCGCCCCCTCCTTCCCTCCTCCTCCTCCTTCTCCTCCTCCTTCTCTTCCTCCTCCTCCTCCTTCTCCTCCTCTTGCTCCTCTTCCTCCTCCTGCCCCTGCTCCACCTGCTCCTGCCCCTTCTTCTCCCTCCCTGCTCCGCATGCCCCCCCAGCCATTTCTCGCCTCAGGGCGCCACGCCGCTGGGGGGGGGGCTGCGTGCGTTGCGGCGGTCAGCTTGAAAGCGGCCAGGCCGCCGCGAGCCAGAGACGTAGATGCAGGGTGAGGGGCTCGAGGGAGGCAGGTCCACGCTGGGCTGGATGTGTCGACAGGGTCCGTGCTCCCTGGCGTATAGAATCCACGGGCTACTGACGAGCGTCGCGCAGGCCAGCCTTGAGCAGACAACGATGCCTAGCTGGGCCCACAGTGTGACGGAGAAGTCGAACCTGCAGTGGGGAGGCGGAGGTGGATACAGCGTACAGTAGCCGTCACTTCACCATGATTTGCACGCACGCAGAGCCCGCCCAGTACATCGGTCCCGAATTCTTTCGCGGGCAGTCAAGAAGAGGATAACGCTTGCCGTCGTTCGAGATGGATGGCACCGAGGCCATGGCGCACGTGTTGTTGCTGCTCTTACCCGTTCCAGAACGCAACATCATGGCGATGTTCACGTTCACGGCCATCTGGCAATGAGGATCGTCAACTTTACTTCGTGTGCAACTTGCGTTAGATTGTCGACCGTTCTATGGGAGTGGTGAGTCCTCCCGGCCATTTGGGTTGGTGCTGAACCCTCGAAGAAGCCACCACACGATGCAAACGGTACCGAGGAGGTTAGGGGTGAACATGGAGCCCCTCGTTGCGGGGCGGGCATTTGGGGCCCGCTGGCTCTCGGAGACGTGGCGATGGCCGCGGGGCCGCTGCGCCATCTCAGTGATGGAGAGTCCCGCCCACGAGACGCAGTGCCAGCACTATTCTACAGCTGGCACACGCCTGGTGAATAAGTCGTGCCCCGCCTACGCTTGGGACCAGCTCACGAACGCTACCCTGTGCAACGCATGATGGTCCCATCATCGCAACCACTCCGCCTCACACTCCTCCTGCCCCCTCCTCCCCGGGGAAGTTCCACCTTTTGTCCTCCTCTTCCTCCTGTGCACTTGTTCTTCATGTAGTAGTCGACCAGCTTGCTGTAGCCCTCCACCTCCTGGGCGGCGCGGAGGTTCGCGGGGGCGAAGATCTTGCAATCCTTCTTGATCTGGATCCTCTCGCGGGAGCAGATCCACTTGTTTCCTGGGCCGCAGGTGAACTCGTACACGCCGTCGTCGAGGGTCATGAAGGCGGTGGTGCGAGGACCGTAGAGCACCACGAGGCTCATCACCTGGTCGCGGCCCGTGGCGCCAAGCAGGCCGGTGGACTTGTCCCAGATGCCGACGATAGTGCCGACGGCCCAGTTGTTGTCGACGATGGAGCTCCCGTCCAGCGGGTCCCAGCACAACACGAACTGGCCGTCGGGGTTGGTCTTGACGATCTCGGGCTCCTCCTCCGACGACGCCTCGTTCACCAACTTACTGGTCTTGGCCAAGTCCCAGAGGAGGTCGTCCGCGATCACGTCCACGGTGAGCTGCGTGTCGCCGAAGGTGTTGGAGCTGTCGTTGACCGTCACGAGGTTCACCCTCAACGCCTCCGTGATCTTGACGCAGCAGTCGAGCAGCTCGTTGACCATGCCCTTCAGCTTCTCGTCCTTCAGCTTCGCGTCGAGCACTTCCTCAAGCGTGTCGTACTTGTCCTTCGCTACGGCGTCCGTGTAGAAGGATGTGTGGGAGGCACCGTACGCCTCGTCCTATGTGAGGCAGCAGTGACGCATTACCATGCCAACAACACGTCGGGGCGCATGGTAAGGTCTGTGAGTTGTCTGATGGGGCGCATGCACTTTTCCACGTCACCGCACCCACGTTTAGAACAAGCGTCCTCTTTGGTTTCCCCTCCCGAGCTCTGTCTAGACCCAAGACGCTCGAACAATACTCCAGGATGGCTGACATGTTTCCCAATACTGGCCCTAGACGACTCAAAGACCCCGAACAGGTCCCAATCTGTCCCCACGAGGCCCAAGATCATTACACGGAACGCCACATCAAATTAAACAGCCCCTGTATGCTTCAATGTGTTGGGTTTGCCATGCTGCTCTGCCTACGTCAGGTGGTTTCGAGCGGGCTCCAGCAGGCCCCACGCCAGCTTCAAGAGGGGAGGATGCAGAAGGAAGAGGAGAGAGGGAGGAAGTTGTGGAGGAGGGAGAGAGGGAGGAGGAATAGCTAAAGAGCTATCCGCGGCATGAAGATCTATCCTCGGAGGTCCGCGTGGATTCCTTGGGTCGGCGCTGGAACCCCCTCGTCTGGCGCGCGACTCGAGCCAAGGGCGGCGCCGAAGGCGCCGCCAGGAGGTGATGCATGCGTCCGACCCGAACATCTAGTAATGCGGGATGACGGTTGATACAAAACTGGGAGAGAACGATTAAACAACTAGTTTTCTGCTATTTCTGCGCAAGTTTCTGACCGGAGGAGAACGATTAAAAACATAGTTTTCCAGCCCGCGGCCAGTTTTTTCTAATCGTCATCCCGGGCGCCGCCGCGTGAACACGACCCCCGGTCATTTATTCATCGTCATCCTCCATGAGAACCCTCTTGCAGCATATCCTTTCTCGAACGGTACGACCTGGAAGCACCCGCGACGGATCTATCTCTCCGAGATCTCTCGGCGCGCGCGTCGCCCTGGGGGGGGGGGGGCGACGAACACACCATATTAGTATGTTGGGGCGCCAGCGATACAGCATCGCACAGACATTACGTCCAGAGCCCGAAAGCTGGATCGAGGGAAAACGCCAGGACTCCCCGAGATCCGACGCTGCGACAGAATCTGCAACACCGCGAGGAATCACGGCGGGAGCCCCAGACCCTATCTTTCTGCGGTATTTTTCCAGCCGCGTCGATCTGCGAGGGCCCCAAGGCCCGAAACAGGGCAGCACCGCCAGTTGCGAAAAAAATGCGGCGCCAAGATCTCAAGGGTCCCAGAAATCGGGGAACCAAACTAGACTCGGGTTCGGGGGACTCGGGTTGGCCTGAGGGGGCCGTCAGAAGAATCACGAGACCCAATCTGAAATTTGACGCGAGCTCCCGCTGCAGACATCCCACGAAGACTGGACCGTCAAAATCCAGGACGCGCTCGTCAGAAAGCGTCGGCAAACCCGCGCTCCGGTGTACAGTCGGATCTAGGGCAGAAGAACATCCTTCAAGAACAAGAGATTCTCCGCGGGCTCAAACTGAGGAACATTCGAGGGTGCCCTCCCCCAGGATGCACAAGAACATCCAACAAGCACGAATACACTGGAGTGCCCTCCCCGAACCGACCTCGATCTTATACCTGGCGGCGCGCACAGTGGGGTAGGGGGAGGGGGGAAGGCCTCTTGGAAGGAGGCTGCTGCTCAAAAGGCGCCTGCCGTACATCTACAGACAAGGCCCGCGCCTTCTAAGAAGCAGGGGTGCTCCTAAGAAGCCCTCCCCCCTCCCCCGACACCCCCCGCGTGGCCGATCTACCTCGGTCTGGCCGTACTATCGAGTCTTACGTTTTTTCCCCGATCAGGGCTTTCCCAGGGACATCAAGTTGCCCAGGCGGCGGTGGATGTCTACAAGCTCCGCCCTCGCGAGGGGGGAGGACACGCAGCAGCGACGGCAGCGGCAGGACGAGGAGGGGGGCATCTTCGGGGCGCCCAAGCCGTAATAGACCTCGAGCCTTCGGTCGAGCAGCCGACGCGCGCGCGCGCTAGCACCCCGTGGCCAACGTTGCATCCTCGGGGGAACTTGTTTGTCTCGTCGTGGCCCTGCCCGCGTCGAATCCGTGTCGAATCCATGTCGGGCTCGTCGGATCCGTGTCGAATCCGCGTCGGATCCGTGTCGGATCCGCGCCGAATCCACGCCAAGTCCGCGTCGAGTCCGCACGGAGCCCGCTCCGGGCACAAGAGAGGACACCAATGTTTGGGACAGGCGAGGTCCCCCGAAGATGCAGCGTAACCTTGGGCCGCCGGCGCTGCGCAGAGCGCCAAGGGTGCCCGACGCCAACGCGGTCACGAAAATCGGCCGAGTGGCTCGCGTGGCCCCCCCAGACGGCCAGCGGCTCGAGGCCATTTTGGGCGGCCGGTCTGTCGGCACCCGCGGGCCTCTGAAGGCCGGCTTCGGGCTTCGGGGGCCCTGGAGACGACAGGGTAATATTCTTACCGTGGTCGTGTTCCGCTCTTCTACCATTTCTGGCGCATTTCTGTTCGACGTTTCTGGCGCCGTTATTTTACCGTTTTCGTTTCCCATGGCGGAGGGCTGGTCCGGATCCGAGCCGTTTTCGAGTCGGTCCCGAACGTCCTTCAGATCCATGGACAGCCCAGGCCGTTTCGGATATCTGTTTTCTAAACAGTTTCGGTGAACAGCTTTTGTTGCGCATGTCTGTTCACCATGAAAGGGGAACATCTTGAGGAACGGCAGGAAAACCACCCTGCCGTTGCCAGGAGAGGAGGAGGATGAGGATGAGGATTATGAGGATAAGGAGGAGAAGGAGGAGGAGGAGGATGGGGAGGAGCAGCATGAGGAAGAGGAGAAAGAGGAGGAGGAGGAGAAGGAGGAGGAGAAGCCATGACCTCTCGGGGGAGGGCCCGCGATCGGACCGCGATCGGGCGATCGGGCGGGCCGCCCTCGGGGTCGGGCTCATGCGCGCGCCTCCCAGGAGGCGCCGCGATTGACGCTTGACTTTCCATGAAGAACATTGGTCGCGAAACAGTACCCACGCGTCCTGCGTGGAGGTCGCCCGCCGCTGTGAAGGAAGCAGTGGGCCGACTCGGACATGCAGCGAGAACCTGGAGAAGCAGGTGCGACCCCTGCGACGTCGGCCTGCCGTGGAAGGCCGCGTGCGGTCATGTGTGGGAGCCCCGCCCACCTCGCTCCCGCTTGCGCAGAGATGCCCCGCTTTTTTTTCCCCTCCAGATCGGGTCACGGAGCGGAGACGTCCTTCCCCACTCCCGCATCACAAGACCAGCCGACACCACTCGGCGGCGAGGGAGACAGGAACCCGACGCCACCAGTAGTTTCTCAGAGGCAGTGCGTGTGCGGCACAGCGTTGTCCTTCTCGTTCCGTCCGTCAAGAGATGGGCAGTGGCAGCGGACAGAAGCGGCAATGGGCAACAATCAGTAGCGATAGCAGTGGCAGCAGTGTGGCAGTAGAGCGTGCGACAAGCGAAGACGCAAGCCAGAACCAGAGCGTGCGCGAAGCGAGAAAGCGACGAGTATAGTTACAGTCCAATGTTGCTGGCGAGCCCCTGGAAGTGCCGCTCTGCGAGAGTAGGGAGGCGAAGCTGGAGCCCGACACTGCTACCAAGCTATCAACTGCAGGCCGGGACTTCCGCGTGCGAGCAGAGACTGCAGTGGCAGCGAACACTGGCACGAGGACGGGAGCCCTGACCTCATCAATCGCGTGCTGGGACACAATCGTGCGAGAAGAGACGGTGTCTGCAAGCAACGGTGCGAAGATAGGAGCCCAAACGTCATCAGCTACAAGCCGGGACATGCGTGCGCGTGAAGAAGCAAGCGTAATGGGTAATGGTGCGAGGCTCGGAGTCCAGACGTCATCAGCTGTAGGTCGGGTCACACATGTGCGGTCTCTGGCGTGCGACCATGGGCGGCTCTGGCAGCAAGTACCAAGAGCAATGGAAGGACGAGAGCGGGCATCAACGGAAAGAAGGCAGCAGTGGCAGCAAGGCTACAGCGAGCAAGGCGTGGCCTCTCTACCCCCAAACGGCGAGGAGCGGAAGGTGCAGCCAGAGCCCGACGTCATCAGCTACAATACAGGGATCGGCGCTTGCGAGGGCATGCAGTGGCAGCTACCGCAGACACCACCCTGCGAGAAGGCAGAGGCGAAGCTGGAGCCCGAAATCGCTAACCTAGTCACTAACACGCCCGTTGGTAACAGCGCAGGGATCGGGGTCCGCGACAGGGTGCAAGTGAAGCTGGAGCCCGACACCATCAGCTACAGCAAGGGAGTGCGAGAGGAAACGGCAGTGGCAGCCCGTGCCAGCAGGCAGTCGCTGGCAGTTCTTGCGAGAGGGCAGCACTGCGGTCCCAGCTACTGGCCCGTGCGAGGAAAGAGGCAGGCAGTGGCAACCAGCGCGAGGTTGCAGGCAGTGGCAGCTCTGGCGATAGATCTGCGTTGCGGCCTGACGCGGCCGTCTTCGTGCCAGCAGCGGAGTCCGCGCGAGAGGACACGACAGCGCCAGCCAGCAGGGGCGCCCCCGCGGGATCTCCGTCGGCAACATCATCAGCCACGTGCGAGACATCGCCGCCGACGGCCTGGAGCCTCGCCGACGGCACATGGCGAAAGGGCGTAACCACATGCCAGAGCCAGAGCGTGCGCGAAGCGACAGCAGAACGAGAGCGTGGACCAAGCGAAAGACGCAACAAACAGTCCAGCGCGGTCAGACCACCAGCGGGAGTGCAGACGTCATCGGCTGGAGTGCGGACGGGCAGTGGTGCGGAATCAACCACAAGCCCGTGCGAGAAGGTAAGCAGTGGCAGCCGTGCGAGAAGGCAGGCAGTGGCAGCCCCTGCGAGCTGGCCGCCGTCGCGGCAGAGCGGTTCCAGGAACAACGGCTCCGAGGCTTCACGCTTGTGGAGGCATCATTTCGGACTCCAGTCCGAGCGGGGCGATTCCGAGATGGACGATTCTGAGCTGGACGCCGAGGCGGCGACAGGTCAGGATGAGCAGTGGACGCCGATGGGCAAAGGCCCCAGGCGACGCTAGAGGCGGCCGAAGAGCCGAGCAGGCAGCCGCCCCCGCTCGCCCGCGCCGCGGCGCCGCCGAGGGAGCTGCCCGCGGCTGAGCGGTGCGGCCACGCGGGCGCGCGAGGCCCGAGGGGCCCAGGGCTGCGGCCCATAGTTTGCTCCAGGCCGCGCCCCCTCAGCCCCCCCCCCCCCCTTCGGACCTTCTTGAGTCTCAGAGACCCCTGGAGGCTTCTTTCTCCGTGGGGGGGCTGAGGGCGCCGAGCAGAGAGGCCGAGCACGCTTTGCCACCGCCCAAACCTGCAGGATGGGCTGGAGGCTGGCGGCCGGCCATATGGGCGGTGGCGCGGTGGTGCACCGGCTGGGAGCGTAGTCTCGTTCGGCCTGTGGCCACCCCCTCCTCTTCCTGGCCCTCGAGGCCCTCCCCCCCCCTCCTCGTCCTCGCGGGCCTCTGAGGTCCCCCGCATCTCTTCCTCCACGCCCTCTGAGGCGTCCCTGCCTCCCTCCGGCGGCGGGCCCTGCCTCGGCTCCTCTTGGGCTCTCGAATGTCTTGGGCTCCGGGTCTCCGCGCCCTCTTCCCTCCAGGGCCTCAGGAGCCTTCTCGCCTGTCCCGCGGGGCCCCCGCTGGAGCCCTGGCCCGCAGCGGGTCTGCGGTCGCGGCGCCGCGCGCGCGCGGCGGCCGCGGTCGCGCGCGAAGGTGCAGGACACCGCGGCGTGCGCCATGGGGTGAGTGAGTGGTTGAGTGAGTGAGCGAGTGAGTGAGCGAGTGGGTGAGTGAGTGAGTGAGTGAGTGAGTGAGTGAGTGAGTGAGTGAGTGAGTGAGTGAGTGAGTGAGGAGGAGGAGGAGGAGGAGGAGGAGCAGGAGGAGGGCCCACTAATGCTTCGGGCCCCGGGGCCATCAAAAACGGCGCAGGCTGGAGAGCGGGCCCCGGGGAGGAGGTCGAGAGGTCTGGAGGCCTGTGCCTCGAACGCCTCGGGCCGCCGGGCGTCTGGGCCGGGCACTGCTGGTGCAGCTCATGCGTCGTCGGGGTGGCCCGGCGTAACAACGATGGAGTAGGTTCTCCCAGTGCATGTTACCTGTCCAGTCCGAGCCCCCTTTGGCTTTCTCACGCTCCCGCCCGCGCAGTACATGACCGGAACGTGGTGGTCGTCTTTGGCCTTGGAGTGATATGCGGCCAACCTGGCCGCGAACTCGACGTCCTCCTCCGAGATCTCCGACCACGGCGCTTTTATCAACACGTGCGACCCAGGAATTCCACGGTCCGTGTGAAACCACATCATGTCTCCCTTGGCCAATTTCGTGGAGACATAGTCGTTCATCTTGCTGGATCGCCCCGCGATCACCTCATGCCCCCCTGGCGTACGATAACAATCGATGTCCTTGCCATACTTCCGCTTGAATGCGAGTCGCTGCTCTTCCTCCAGGTCCAGCAGCGGCGCGACAGGCGGCAGCTTGACCTTGATGATGCCCTGTTCCAGCATAGCGTCGTAGAGCTCCAACACGAGCGTCGCCGACTCCGCCGAGAGCCCGTCGGAACTACCAGCCTCCTCTTTCCAGCCCGCGGCCTTTTCTGCGTGCACGCGCCAGCACTCTAACTCAGCCCTCTTCTCCTTCAGCATCGGCCCGACCTTCTCATGGGAGTTCATGATCTTCCGGGCCTGCTTGAAACATGCCTTGGCGTTGTCCTGGAAACTCTTCTTGCCATCCAGCTGCACGAGTATCTTGCCCGGCTGCCCGCTAGCATCCAGCCGCGCCCAGTCCGACACTTCCACCTCCGTCATCCCCCTGCTAGAGGAACAACAAACTGCACACGCGCAAACCTTCTGAGGTCCGCGCGGATTTCTCGGACTGCCGCTGGAACCCCCCTCCTGGCGCGCGGAGCGCGCCCGGGGCGGCGCCAGAGACGCCGCCAGGGGGGCCTGGCGCTGAGCCAAGAAATCCGCGCGGACCTCTGACAATTCCTTTTTTTTTTTCCCCCTTCTTCGACCTGCGCCACTGGGACTTGGGGAGCCTCAGCCAGGGCTCGAGCTAAACAGTGCTCTCCATTTTCGTTCGGTTTTCGTTTTCCCTCGTTCTGTCTTCGCTCCGCCTCTGCAGGACGAAATCGACACGAAAACGGCCCCATCAGCTCGCGCCCTGGCCTCTGCAGACCGTTGCCCTTGGCCATCCACTCCTCCGCCTCTGCGGGGTCCCGCAGCTGCCGCTCCAGGCTCGCGGCCGTGCTCGCCAGGCTCTTGACCTGGCCCGCCGCCTGGGCCGCCACCTGCTCCACCACGTCCTCGGCCGCCCGACCCGCCTCCGCCGCCCCGGCGGCCGCCCGCTCCCCCCCCGCCGCGGCCGCGCGCCCGCGGCTGTCACCGCGGCGCCCCGCGAGCTCGGCGCCTCCAGCGGCCGGCCGCCCGCGCCACGCCGCCGCGCCCCCAGGCGCCGCCGCCGCGCGCGAGGCGAAGGCGAGGCCCTGCGCGCAGCCCGGCGGCGGCAGGGCGCACCCGCGGAAGGCCGGCGGCGCCGCCGGCAGCGGCGCCTGTCGCGCGAGGAGCGCGGCCGCGGCGAGGGCGCTCCGCCGCAGCCGCGAGGCGCGCGGCCCCGCCGCCATGGCGGAGGAGGGCCGCGGGGGAAGGGCAGCAAGACGAAGCCAGGGCGGGGATAAGATGCCTTCCTCGACCTTGTCTCCGCCTTCTCGAGAAGCTCCCTCGCCGAAGGATGTCGCCCCCGGAGGGCCTCCGCAGGGGCCGCCTGGGAGGCGAGCGCGAGCAGCACCAGGAGGGCGACGACTTCGGCTGCTACACGCAAGAGTGGCCCAGGGTGCGAGCGACCTCTGGTCCGCGGCTTCTTGGGGGCCGCGGGGGGGCCAAACACAAGCGCACAAGACGCTGCTGTCGGCCCGTATCCTGAGGACGCACGATAAAAAGGGATGCCAAGGCCCCATGGAAGACCGCCGCGAAGCCTTTCTGGCGGGGCGCGGCCAACAAGAGTGGCCAAGGACGGACCGAGGAGGCGAGCATGCAGGGGCACCCTTGGGAAAGCTGCCCCGGCTCTCCCTGTGAGGGCTGACGTTAAAATCGAGACTCTCTGATATCCGGCGGCTCGGGAGGATGTATCGGGCGCCGCGGCCTTCTCTTGAGGGATGAAAAAACGTCCCTACCCTGGATTACAAGTGCGTGGTCTGTAAACCTCCTGGGAACCTCAAAGCCTAGAGTCGCCAGGACGCGGCACATCACGCAGGTTTTACCCTGTCAGCCCACAGGAGTTTCAGAGCACAGCGCCTCGTAAACCAGGGTAGGAGCATTTTTTCTGCCCTTGATTCTCGGGGCGTTCCGGAACGCTCTGAGAGGGACTTATCCTCGTCCTGGCCCCTTCCGGCGAGCAAGACGAAGCCAGGGCGGGGAGAATACCGGGTAAGGATGCAGCCAACCCGCATCATAAGGACGCACGGTGAGGCCGCCAGGGAGCCTTGGAAGGACGTTTCGAAGCGTTTTTGGCGGGGCGCGGCCAACGAAAGTGGCCAAGGACGGACCCAGGAGGCAAGGATGCAAGGGTTCCCTTGGGAAAGATGCCCATGCTTCCTGTGCGGGTTGACTTTAAATCGAGAATCTTTCGAGATCCCGCGGCTCTGGAGGATGTATCAGGTGCCGCGGCCTTCCCAGAGCGTCTTCTGGAACGCTCTGAGAGGAATTTGTTATCCTCGTCCTAGCCCCGTCCGAACCAATGAGGTGGTCACTCAGAGCGTTCGGTTAGTTCGGGCATGTCCTCCTGCAGGCGGCCGCCGATCCGGCGTGTGAGTTTCAAAGACCCTCAAATATAGCCTGAGCCTCAATTCTTGAGCTTCAGCTCTGCTGGGTGGGTGGGTGCCGGGGTGGCTCTGCCTCGGTATGGGGGGTGTCGAGTTAATTTTGGTGGCGAAATCGGAGCTCCAGCTCACTCTGGGTCGGCCCCTCGCCCCGGAGAGCTCAAACGCGGGCTCATAGAACACCCAGCGGCCGCCCAGACGGCCCAAGAGGGCCGCCCTGAGTGGCCGAAACATTGCTCCAAGGCACTCAATATGTTCCCCAGACGGCTCCAGAGGCCTCCAACGTA